AGCCCGAGTGTTAACATATTACAAGATCAGTAGAGCATCCGTTATTACAATAGAGGTAGCGGAGGACGTACGAGTTATTATATTACACCCTGATTAAATCATGGGTTCCTCTTTTACATTTAGTTTTATCCTTTTGGACTGTGACAAACTTATCTGCTGCCTACTTACACTTCTGCGGGATGTAGTCCATCATGTTTTGGGCCATCATTCCTCTGGGTTTTGTTTCCCCCGTTATATCTGTTAGGAATTTTCCTAATCTTCTTGCAGTTTCCCTTTCAGAAAGCCAGCCTAATGTTTTCTGGTCCCTTCCTTGAGTACATTAATCCTACTTCTACCAGATACTCAAACATAAGTACACTGTGATCACTCATTCCCACGGGGGCTTCAAAGTTGACTTTCTTTATGTCAAAATTATTCAGAGTGAATACCAGGTCAAGTCTAGCTGGTTTGTCTTTGCCTCTTATTTTTGTGGGTTCCCTGGCATGCTGTCTTAAAAAGTTTCTTGTTGCCACATCCAATAGTTTAGATTTTCACGTTTCTTCACCTCCATGCAGTTCCTCGTTTTCCCAGTCTATCTTTTCATGGTTAAAATGTCCCATGATAAACAGACAGGATCAATTTCTACAGGCAACAGAGGGCTGTCTTCTGAATTATAGTATTAACTGTCATGTTGTTTGTCATACTCTTGCCTGGGTCTTCTGTCATTTGATGGAGGGTTATATATATCACTGCTACTACTGCTCTTGGTCCTCCCATTGTCATGGTGCCTGTTAAATAGTCTCTGAACCTCTCACAGCCTGGGATAGCGTTCTTCTCGAAACTCTATTCCTTTCTTATCAGCAGGACCACTCCTATTCCTTCTCTCTCTCTTTCCTTATTACAGTGTAGTCCTGGGAAAGCACCATATTTTGTTATGATTCCTGACAGTTTTGTTTCCGTGAATTCTATTACATCCAGGTTCTCATTCTTGTACTCTTTTCCTAAGTTCACTTGCTTTCTTTGTAATCCTGTCTATGTTTCAGTACATTGCTTTGAAGCTGACTTCCTTCTGACCAGCCTCAAAGACCATTTTCTTTTATGCTCCCTGGAATAGAGGGACACGGAGGGTCTGGGTTTGGGGGGCCGGGAGGGTCTGGGTGGGAGGGCATGGAGGGTCTAGGAAGGAAAACTGGCAAGATCTGTGAGGGAAAGGGCTGGGAGGATCTGGGATGGTGGGGCTGAGAGGGTCTGAGATTGGGGACAGTGACAGAGCCTGTTTAGATTTCTAGCCACCGGTGTGTTAAAGCAATGAATCGTGTTCCATTTCCATATATCTAACTTTAAAATTATGAATAGTTTGTTTCCACAAACTTTAAAAGCTCTAGTTTATTCCATTTCCCCACTACTCTCTCACTAAAAGGAAACTTCCTAACAACTCTATGATGCATCTGAGTTTCCAGCTTCCACCCATGTTCCCTTGTTCTGTTAGTAATTAGTGTGAACATTTCATTTATTTCCACTCCGTCAATCACCCCCTAAGTATTTTATTTGTTTCTATCATATCTCCTCGCTCCCTCCTTTTTTCTAGTGTCATCAGGTTCAGTTCCTTCAGTCGCTCTTCATACCCTATTCCTCGCAACTCTGGGACGAGCCTCATCGCAAACCTCTGAACCTTTTCCAATTTCCTCAGGTGGGGGCTTCACGATGGGGTGGCATACTCTAAGACTGGTCTCATGTCGGCAGTGTAAAATGCCCTAAATGCCTCCTTACTTAGGTTTATGAATGATGTTAGTCTAATGTGTGTGTGTGCGTGTTTCTGTCTACCTCCCTCCCTCTGGAAGGTGTGGGTTGGATATGTGTCATGTGGAGGGAACAATTTAGAGTTAGCTGGGCAGTGGTTGGATGCAGGTGTTGTCCAAGTGGTGGTAATTTACCAGCCACCTACCAGCAATGCCAAAAAGACTGCTTGGGTATTTTAGATAACTACAAGCAAAATAACCTATGTTTGGTTTTTTACATTTTTAGGGCTTGAGGGCATAATGTTTAATATTATACAAAGAAAAAAGAAAAGAACTCAGTTGATATATTCTAAAAATTGTAGTGGTTTCCATTGGCACCTTATCAATTAGAACTCATGTGTGTTGTGGCAACACCTGAGCATGATGGGCATGTACCCCACAGGGTTGAGGGTGCAAAGTTGGGTGAGAAAGTCTTGCCTCCATCCTCGGACAGACATTCTAATTTATACATATTGGATATAGATATACAGTACTATATTGCATATATATATATATATATATATATATATATATATATATATATATATATATATATATATATATATATATATATATATATATATATATATATATATATATATATATATATATATATATATATATATATATATATATATATATATATATATATATATATATATATATATATATATATACAGTGGTACCTCGCATAACGATTGCCCCAAAAGACGAACATTTTGGGTAACGAACGGCCCGATCGGCATCAAATCGTCCCGTATGACGAACGCTGGTTTGCGTAACGTCAACACCACACGGTGGGGTCGCACTGCTTCTTGCACATTCTTAGACGCCTCCGACGATGCACATAAATTATGTTGTTCTTGTTTAAAGATGCTAATGTTGCTGGGATATAAAAGGGTGACTGCTGAGATGTTGCAAAGCATTGACGTTTTTGCAGGAAAAAATAAATGAAATGTCTGATATACAACAAATGTCAAAAAGGTTCGTTCGGTGTTCGGCAGGTAGGCTGCTCCATTATAACAATCTTTCTTTGTTTCAAATGTGTTCCATTTGTTTTGTAATTTTCATTTACGTCTCAATAATGGAGAAGCCTATCTTACATACACTGAATAAACCATTATGACATTTTCCTTTCTTCAAATGTGTTCAATATGTATTTTTCATTTGTCTTATAGCAAAAGGTTCGTTCGGTGGTCGGCAGGTAGGCTGCTCCATGTTTCTTACATACAAAAAACGTAAATAATAAAAAAAAATGAAGAATTTTGAAAACCAGTACAAATGTCAAAAAGGTTCATTCGGTGGTCTACAGGTCGGCTACTCCATGTTTCTTAAATAAAAAAAAAAACGAAAAATAAAAGAACTGTTGAAACAATTTGAAAAATGGACAAATGCCATGAAGGTTCGTTCAGTGTTTGTCGGGTAGGCTGCTCCATTATTGAGACGTAAGTGACAAATACAAAACAAATGGAACACATTTGAAACAAAGAAAGATTGTCATAATGGAGCAGCCTACCCGACAAACACTGAACGAACCTTTTGTTATAACGAATATGAAAGACAAGGGCTGCTGGCTGGGTTAGTACTGCGTGAGCAACCATTTGTAGCACACGTGCCTCTGGCTCTCAAACACCTGTCCCACACGGTGTTGAAAGACTGCGCTCAGTCGGTGCAATTCAGACCCTATTGTTTGAAGAACAAGGGGTCATAACATTGGTGAAGCTAGGCGCAATAAGGGCTTAACACAACGGTCGGATGCCAGTGATACAGCACCTATGAGGATGATACAGCAAGCGTATCCAGGTGTAGCTCTGAGCCCCACCCTTGCCATCTCTAATGTATATAGATGATACATAGATGAATCGTTTTCTGCGTTCAATGACGATGCATCTGATACAAGTAGCATAGATGAACAGTGTTAGCGGCTTCCATGGTGGTGTTGTTCATTGATATTTTCAAGAATACCTGAATCTCTTCCTGACTGATGGACACTCTTTGAGGCTAGCTGAATCTCTTCCTGACTGATGGACACTCTTTGAGGCTGAATCTCTTCCTGTGTGGGACCTTACAAAGCGATCTTTTCAAGACTACCTTACAAACTGAGCTTTTCCTATAATCATTTCAATACTACCTTATGCTTTACAAGCTTGGCTACATACCACCTACAAGTATTAAAGCCAAGGGTGCACACGAGAGCGTTATTTGCAAGCACACAGAACGATGAAACAGGAAACGAAAATCTATCTGTAGCTGGTGCAAGGAGAGCAAAGTCGCGCTGTGTACCATGGACTACTTCGTTGACTATTACACACCTCCAAAGTACTGAGTGTGTAATACAGTGTGTTACTGTGTAAATAGTATGTGAAACTGTACATATTGTAATTTTAGTGAATTTTTACCACGTAATATTGTGACAATAAACATTTATTGTGGACACATTACTGACACATGTATCACAGTTTCATGGGAAATTATGAACATTCTACTGTATACATATTGTAAAGGTCACAAATATGCATCATATACGATAAAAGAAACAAATAAAACCGCATTGGAAATGCATAGAACAAATATTTGTAAATATATTTGTGGCAACATGCAGTGCTTGAATGGCCTGCGCGACCGTGTCTGGGAGCTTCACACACAGGCGACCAGGCCCTGATGACGTCACAGCGCACCTTGTCCACGCCCTCACAGCCAAAGTAAGTGGAATTTGGTAATTACTTTCACATAGACATGTTCAGGGACGGTAATTTATCATTTTGCAAAGAAAAATGATATTTTGGGGAACATTTGATGTCATGCACACTGGGGAATTTCACAATAAACACAGTGCATCACACTGGTTACATGGGGCACACTTGTTTTGTATGACGTCCGTTTCACATGACGAACATGGAACGGATTAAATTCGTTATGCGAGGTACCACTGTATATTAATATTCATGTGTGTAAATCACAAAAATAAACACATGATTAAAAATTTGAGTGTCATAATATTCAATACGAATATTATATGACAGAATATAATATTCATATATAAATATTTTATATATACAGTATAATATTAATATATAATACATATAAAATAATGAATTTGGTCCGATGAAATGAGGTAGATTTTTAAATGTCTACAAAAAGAGTTAATATGAGACTGAAGATAGTTTATCAGCTACCCATAATATGAAAAAAAATTATCTGCAGCCATTATTGTTGCTTATAAAAGTCATAAAAAATACAGAATAACGTAATAGTTTTATTTGACAATTAGATAAACCCTAAAATTCACAAACATTATAAGCAGTAATAACCACAAATACAATGCCATGCAACAATTCTCATCATCACAACAGCATCAAGACCTCATCATTCATATAAAAGGTGCCATGGGACATTATCATCTCGTGATAGTGTTTCATTTGTATAACTTTCCAACCATCAGATAAAGGTTATATTATTGTTTTAACTTACAAAAATACAGTATAACTTAATTCATACTTTCCATTGCAATTATAAAAATGGCTCATTAATAAACATTTACTGCACTACTTGCTCCATAAATTCATTGTCACTTTTATTTCATACATAAAGCTCAATTAAAATATGAAAACATTACTTATTATGGAGTTTGGTGATAATATTGCAGTCACAATTGAATACTGAAGAGAAACTTTTATCCCCCAAAAAGATAAACCTAAGTTTCATACTAGCTGCACATGGTTGAAGTGTTACCCAGATGGAAATGTGGGTTAGTGGTGGTGACCATGAAATATTACTGAGGTTGGCAGTGTACAACTGGTCACTCTGGAGTGTCAGGTGGTGCATCTCCTACTTTTGGTGGACTGGTCAGCACTTTATCAATTAACCCAATTTCTTTAGCATCATTGGCATCCATGAACTTGTCACGCTCCATCATTGGGCCTGTAATAGTTGACATAGTTTTATAATTGCATGTAATAGTTGGAAACATTCTAAAAAGAAACATATTTGCATCTACCATTCAGAAATGAGAGGAATAAAATTTTGACATATCACACTTTGCAACCATTAATGCACATTTATGGATATTAAAAGTGATTAAGTAGGAATGAGGATGCTGTAGAGACCATGCAAGGTAACAAAGGCAGTAACAATCATGGTGATTTTCTAGAGACAGGACATCGGTTTCAACTTACGAGTGCTGAGTAGGGGACAAATGAAAGGCACTAAAGCCGAGGTGTGACCCCAGTGCGGTGCAGACACACAAGCAATGAAGGGTCAAAGGAAAGGCAGAGAAATAGGTGGGGCAGGCATGATTGAGCTTAGACAGCACGAGAGAAGAGTGCAAATAAAGGAATGAGCATCTGTCAGCGCCTCAGGAAGTACAAGGCAAGACTAAGTTAGGTAAGGGCCTTACAGCATTCAACTCAGATGTGAGAGATACGGAGTTACCAAGACAAACAGGTGTCAAAGTTCAACCTCAAAGTTTAGCACTTTTTTTTTTTTTTTTTTACAGAAAGAGGATTACCATAGTGCCAATGGGGGCCATAGAATGACCTGCATCCGAGTAAAGGTAAAAACACAGGTCTCAGTCGTAGTGAACTTGAAGCCATGATTAGTGGCCCAGGATGATGCAGTATCAATCACAAGTTAGAGCTAGTGTTGGAGGAAAGTGGAATCATCACATCGACAGCAGAGCAAAAGATTGTCAATATAAAGGGAGAAAATGTCAAATGGAAGGAAGACTATTTAGGGCAACCAGGAAAAGATTAGTGTTCAGAACACTACCTTGGGGAACACCTTCATATGGCTGAAAAGTCAGAGAAAAATGGTACCAAGTCTCACTTTAAGTGAATAATGAGAGAAGCAGCTTTGAAGGAATTTTAAATTAATTATCACAATGATTTCAACTTTTCTTCTTTAGTTAGGTTATATTTAACAATAACAAAAAACTGCACTTGGTCCAATGAAATTAGGTGGATTTTTAAATGTCTACAAAAAGAGTTAATATGAGACTGAAGATAGTTTATCAGCTACCCATAATATAAAAAAATTATCTGCAGCCATTATTGTGGCTTATAAAAGTCATAAAAAATACAGTATAATGTAATACTTTTATTTGACAATTAGATAAACCCTAAAATTCTAATTCACAAACATTATAAGCAGTAATAACCACCTTTTTTTACAGTATATGTAAAAAAAAATGCTTAAATGTTCATACAGAGAAATATAGACATTGAAATTTACTTATATTTATATAACATATATTAACAAGATCTAACTTACCAATTTTTTCCAACACAGTGCCTGTATGTTTAACATACAAATGAGTTAGTCTGTCCTTTAATCGTAGAATCTCTTCTGCCTGTATCTGAATATCCGTTGCCTGGCCCTATGAAGAAATTATATTCATATAATTATTTACTTTTACTGTTAAGGGAAGTTATATCATCCTATTATCTTATTAACTATTTTAAAATTGGCTTTGATAATGATTTTAAATTAATATCAGTGGTATCTGGATGCAACAGAAGGACTACAACAGTCAGGATGCAGCATAAGGATTACAATCCATTTATAGTTGCTAATACCTTAATCCAAAGGTAACCTGATAAACAAGGGAGTCCACAAAATCAGTTGTGGTGGTGCCAATAAACTTTAACAAACTCAGAGCTTTGCTGAGCTTTCATATTTAGCTGTCCTCTAATGTAAGATTATACTGTCTGAGGGGGAAAGCAAACTGTATAATCAACAGTGCAACATATGTGGTACAGACAGCACATAGAACTTATCAAATGTCCCCACATGATCATACTGGTACTACTAGATAGCACTGGAGACCAGTTTATATGAGCTATAGAAAGCTCAAATCTTCCATACATTCAAAATACAAGCACTGGTTGACTGGAGGATGGAGGCAGGGTTAATACTCCATCTTCATCCTAGTGTAAGGCTTGGCAATTTCATTTGATACTTACTTACCTTCATCCCAAGGAGTTATTTATGAAGAGACCAAGCCTCAAATTGGTCTTTCTGCTTCTTTCTCTTCTGAACAAGGGAAGCTACCATGCATTACAGAGTCTGTAATGGACTCATTACACAGACTACATTACAGAGTAGTCTGTAGGTAAACTTCAATTTGCCTCTTGGGTGAGAAGCTTGATATCTTACTATTCAGAGATGGGTGCTTCTTTGTCCCCTGGTCAGTAAAAACAAACATCGACTTGCTATATGTGAGGACTTAGCTTGACTTCCTTTTGACCATTCATAGTCTGTGGCCATTATGCTGGATACAGTTTAACTCTGTATGGATGACATCTTGTACCCTCAGTTTTACTTAGTCTGGATCATCTTTCCTGCTATTCAGGATGATGCTCAGAGTCTTCAAAAGTTTATTCTGCCCCTCCTGTCTCCTGGCCAGGCTAGGCAGGACCTGAAACTGCTGTTTCTTTGGAATGAGAACAATGCATCCGAACCAAACTCGTCTCTGCCCGTAGGTCCTTCCCTCCCTCCCTCTCTCTTTTTTTTAGTCTTATTATATTAATTCCAGGTTGATATATCAGGATCCTGCTTCCACCTGACTTGTGAGCAACTCTCTTTGACTTTGGGAAATGGTGGTTTGTCTGTAGGTTGGGTGTTCTCAAGTGGAAGGAAACTTTCCTTATCTCCAATCTGCTTCTGGCAGGGAAACCATAAGGCATCTTTAACCAGATTCTTTACACACCAGTGTTGTCTCAAGATGTAGCATTTCATCAATGACTTTTTCCATGTTTTCCCCTTTACTGCAGCATCTTCTTGTCACAGAATTGAAAGCACAATTTCATCTTGTAGACATCCTCAAGCTTTTGGCTGCTCAGGTTTTCTTGTATGTTTGGCTTCAGGAGTTTGCTAGTCAAGTTAGGCTGAGCAAGTTGTCAGATTTGTCTTCCATTTTAATAACAGCTGGAGGCCTTGCCTAAATTACAGTATGTTTTACACATCTCATCTTCAAACATGAAGTGTTGGGCATTCAAATAGTCCAGATGTAATGTCAAGCCAAGCTCTATTCCCTTGTCTCCACTTCTGTTCCCTGGGCAGTTAGCTTACAGTGTTTTTACCAGGTATTTTAGCTAGAGACTTCAACTTCAATTCTTTCCAAGGAAGGGGAGTATGTGGCTAGCCCTCTTGGACTCCTGCTCAGGATAGGATGCCTGGAGCTCAGGCCCCAGGCTTGAAGATGTTAATTTTGACTTGGTTTGGTCAGGAGTTCCATGGTTCTAAGTTCCATGGCTTAGAAGGTTATTTCCAGTGGCCTAACTTGGACTTGAAACCCTCTTGTCCCAGAGAATGTGTGGGCCTCGGGCAACTGTCTACTCTACTGCTAGTCTAGCATCTGGAACATGTTGGATAAAGAGGTGATTGTCATCACATATTCTCTATGGGTGAAGTTTTGTCAATGTTCTGTTATGAAGAAAGGTTCCACCAGGAGGAAAATGATTCATTTTCCCAGGACAATGCTTTCATCCTTTGTCCACTGCTCTGCAAAAACACATTTGTGGTCATTCACAAGTTCTCCAGGTTATTCTTAGATCTCAAGGATGCTTATTGGCATGTTCCAATTCATCCAGAGTTCAGGAATTTTCTTGGTTTCTATGTCCATGGCATATCTTACTACTTCAAGGGGGTTTCCTTTCAGTTTGAGCCTGGCATGTAAGACATTAACTAGAGTCACCAGGAGGCAGCTGTTTTTTTAACAGCTCTGGCATACAAAGATCCACATTGCGGCTTATCTCAACAATTGGCTTCATCAGTGCTTGCAAGCCAGGGATCTAGTGTTGGAGTTAAGAAAGTTGTATTTTCTGTTCAACAATTCAAGGTCCCAGCTCCAGCTTTTGCAAAGGCTCATTTGATTGGGCTTTATTCGGGACTCCTTTCCGGAGATCTCCTTGGATTGGCTTGCTTTCCATCTTGACCCTGTCCTTGGTAAGGGCTGCATCATGAGTCGAATGCTCAAAAACCTAACCAACAAAGCTTAACTTTGTGGTTTTCACCTAGGTCAGGTATTGCTCAAGAGAAATAAACAAGTTTCCCTGCTTGCATGCTCATTATTGGCTTGGAGATCACTAGTGATGTCTCCTCAAGTTTTGATGGCTGGAGATGAAACCTCAACCCATCTGGGTTGGGGGTTTCATCGGTGAAAAGCTTGAGAAATTACTCGAGATCACCAGGAAACTGAACTCTGGAAAAACTTCCAGAGGAAACTGAAGCAATCAAGCTTTTCACTGATCCATCCAAAATAGGTTGATGTTTTGTTTTCAGTTGTCATCATGTGGGATAAGGACATTGATTTCTAGTAATGGAGCTGGTCAACATCTACCTCTCTGTCAAGGAATTGGTGGTAGTATAAATAGCATTGCAATGCTTAAAACTTAAAAAGGTTAGCGGTCGGTCCAACTTTATTCTGATAATTCATTAGTAGTTGGTTGCCTGAAAAAGGGATATCATCTAGGTTCTTTCCTTTATGGCACTGGACACTGGCCATTACTTCTCTTCTAGTTTCTCTAGGCTATTTCTCTCAATGTTCTACATTCTGGGACTCTCAAAAATGTTGGCAGACATCCTTTCCTGTCTTCATCCGACCTGGGTGTTGTTTGAGAGTGGGACCGTGTATCCTTCTAGAAGGTCTCCAACTTGTTCAGTTCCTCAGGTAAACCTCTTTGCATGTGCATAGAATCACAAGTTGCTGACCTATGAGACTCCATTCCACAATTCTGATGTTTTCATGTTGGGGAACAACATATATCTGGAACCTTTGAGAGGCAATCTATATCTTCCTTATAATAATAATGCATCTTCCTATCCTGTCTTGGTTCCTAGTTCCTCTGGCCTTATGTCAACACTGTTCCAGCTCCATATTCTGCTCTTTGTGGGACCTCAATCAATCCCTGGACTGTAGATGGATTGATACATAGCAATATGCATCCTACAGATTCAAGGAAACAAGCCAAGAATGGCCCGACTTCACCTGGCACACTAAGGAAACGATCATTTGGAATGTTAGACAGGGTATATGTTTGAGCCACAAGATGAAGTGGAACTGTGATGAGTTGTTCTTTAGTGCAGGGAACAGCAGGAACAACACCCGAAGAGTTCCTAATCAAGGTCACCCCACTGTCTAACAAGTCTTGAATGACAGAGTGGAGTAGATGGGTAGACAACTGGGCAAAGCCCCCTAGACCACTGAGTGAACCAAGGAAACCAAGTGCAAGTGAGAACCTTAGAGACAGTACATAGAACTCAGGCATCCAGGGTCTAAACCTGCCAAAAAGCGAGTGGAAACAGGCCGTTGACCTCAACCTATTATCTACTTCATCTCTACAACTCAGGGCTATTTCTTCTGCTGCTGCTTCTGTGGGCAAGTATGTCAATACTGATTTTTGTTTTGTACTTTACCCTTAGTAGAAGTAAATGTTGGGGAAAGGTAGCTAAGGGAGGCTACCAAAAAGAGCCAGTTTAAAATTAGCATTGAGTGTAATGAAACAACCCTTCAGATTGGTGCCTTGGTAGCTTGTTAGCTCCCCATTCCCGTTCGTCGATTGCCATTTTCCCCAAGGTAGCTGGGATGGGTTGGGCTCAAAGTGAGGGTTCCATCTCCCCTAACCTTATTGTCTGTAGAACTGTCACAGGGCAGTAACTAAGGTGGAAATTCTAGCAGTTTGCAAAATGTTTGGAGGGAGTTTTTTGAACATTTTGAAGTGTTTTGTGTGTCATAGCAAGAGGTTTTCTTGGTAGTGGATCAATATCAGCTCTCTACATGTTTCCCCACCTGTCTTCAGGGGCCAAGATATATAGGAAGGTACTTGTTCATGTGGACAAGGAAGGTCACTCAGAAGCCTGGCATATTAAAACACTTTGGTCGGCCCAGTTCTGGCTCAGCTTGCCACCTCGATGTTTATATTCTATCCAGTTTTCTAACCTTATTTTTTGCGCTACCTCGTTCATTTCATTTTGGTATCAAATTGTTGGCAATAAAATTGCATGCATTTTACCAAGTCCTATAATACTCTGACAATAAATAGAATATTTACAAATATTTTAATTGTGGGTGGCGTTAACATCCTCAGCTGAACTACGTGCATTGATTTAAGGACTGCGATAATGTTATCACACAGACAAAGTGTTAATTAACAGTGTCCTATAGTATCAGTGGCTTTAGTTAAGGGCAGCTACCAAATGAACATCTCAGAAAGGGATGTTTCATTACACTTAATGCCCTATTTGTTAATGTAAATGGTTGTAAATTATGGCTCTATTTTATGATAAAAAAATCAGCATTGAATGTAATGAAATGCCTTTTTCTGGAGGGACCTCAGTGGCTTCCAGTAGCTAGATGCTCTGGTTGGCTACTTACCTTTTGAGTTACACCACACCCTTGCGAGTCAATAAAAGCCTACTTTGAATTGGAGGCCAAAATCTAGCCCCCACTTACAAGGGGATTTGGAAAGTAGGGGATATTGTTGAACATCTTCACCAAATAGCTAACCTCCAGAAAGAGGCAAATCAATATACAACAGAAAGGCAAATGTAAACAAATTGGGAAATGATCCACCCTTGCGCCTAACAGCTGGGTGGACAACGCTTTGGATTCGTAGTCCTGAGGTTCCGGGTTTGATCCCCAGTGGAGGCGGAGACAAATGGGCAAAATGTTTCTTTCACCCTGATGCCCCTGTTACCTAACAGTAAATAGGTACCTGGGAGTTAGACAGCTGCTACGCGCTGCTTCCTGGGGGTGTGTAACAAAAAGGAGGCCTGGTCGAGGACCGGGCCACGAGGACGCTAAAGCCCCAGAATCATCTCAAGATAACCCAGTACAGTAATTAGGTCGTTAACCCCTGTGAGAATATAAAGTCTTACCCTCTGGTCTACGGTAGGCTTTTATTGAATCACAAGGGCCTGGTGTGACTTGATAGGCACAAAGCTACCCAAAACTGCATAGCAACAGGGAGTCACCGAGTGTCCCCATCCCCCTAAAAATATCCAATTACTGCAAAGAAAATCTCCACGTCTGTGGTAGAAAATAATAATATTATTATTATTATTATTATTAATAAAACTGCATAGAAAAGCTTTGAATGTTAATTATCTTTTACTAGTCCATGAAGCAATAAACAAGACCCACTATAATATCAATAGATTCACAAATAAATCATTATATTTATGTGAGAATGTGCATGTAACAATACTAATATGGAATCCTATAAGGCCTTCACAACCTATCTACCACATGGTCAGCTAATGTTCACCATGAGGCAAATGATTTAAAAAGTTGCCATATTGTAATGTAAAATTCACGTTTAGTAAATATTTACAAATCGACGACACATACTGCCCCATCAAAATAGGATAACTGTTAAATGAACGTACAGTATGGTGCCAATGAAAGTGTGATAGACCATGGCCTATGAAAGAAAACTCTTAATACATGAACACATGATTCTATAAATAACAGTTTAAAGGTACCATGTATGCAAGCATATTATCTTGACCTTAGTAAAACATTTAAAATGAAACATGTTCAATATGCTATCTATACATACTGTACCAGTGTCACTCTGCATATGAACATGAACCAAGACTAACATGAGCTCCTCCGTGGGGTTGGTGGATCATGATGCGTGCATGTGGCAGTGAGTGTCTCATCCCTGGGGTGCCAGCTGCCAGCAGAAGTGAGGCCATTGAACAGGCTTGACCCACACACCAAGTAGCAATAGGGGGTTGAACATACTGCATGGTGTCATAGATTCCCAAACCAGATGTGACAACTCCACCTGGGCTTTAAAAAGAAAATTAATTTTTTTTTAAGTTTATGAAACCTATGAAAACCTTACAGTGTCATGAATTAATGTTAATTGTTTTTACTTAAGAATATTCTTTTGGTAACTCCACTGACTTAGAGAGTCCAAGAACTTGAGTGCAACTCCAGTTGTCATGCTTTGTTCTAAAATCCCTCACTATGTTGTAGACAGAGAAAAGAACATGGCCAAGACAAATAAATGTGTAACAGTGAAGCATCTACAGAAATAAGTTACATTCTACTTCTTTTGATTAAGTTGTGAACATTACAGTCCTTTGGGGGATCTGTTTATCTCTGCTTGGAACTAACAGCTTCCAGTTTATGTGGTTTTGTTAACATGTCTGTAAAGTTTTGGTATTGGTGAGGCGTGGTGTTGCATGGGAATATCTTCAGTAATTAATTTTTATGGTTTCTAACTTTATTCACTTAGTTTCTTGTGCTAACAAGTTGTATTGATGTGTCAAATGTGGTGTTCATCATGTAGAATAACTGAAAATATATGCATGTACAGATATACAGTATGTGTATAAATATATGCACACATTGTATTTATTCATACTAATATATACTGTATGTCTAAATATTATAATTGCACACAGCACACATTTTGCTTGTAAACATGTACATGGTAATCACTCATTTGCTTTTGTTAAAAGTTCAATGGCTCCTAGTATGCCGTCCTGCACATTCACACATTTATGGTGATGTGCCAGACATGGTCCTCATCTGTTACTAAGGACCTAGAAGGAAAGTGAGGGACTCGGGATGTTTTTTTAAGATGGAGAACAGTTACTGGAGGCCTGAGGAAGCAAATGTGAGCCCCTTGTGTGCATGGGAGTTTTATATTTTATGATAGCCTTAAAAAAACTGTGGTTGTGGTGCACACATCAATGAAACAATCCTGGTTATTTAGTTAGGTGCTACAATAAGGCAGGACCCATGATGACTCTGGCTGCAATCTTGTGGTGGTCGAGTGCATTAAGGGCAGGGTTGTTATCTTGAGGCAATGATCTTTGAGGCTTTGTTTTCTATCAATTTAGTTTATTTATTTAGCAGCTTATTTTGTCTAACCATTCTGATGAGTTTCACTTGGTTTTGGGCAGTTCTCTGATCCCAAGCTGCTCACACTTCAGAGAGCCAAATTCTGATTATAGCTTCCACTAAATCATCATGGATGATGATGTCTCAGAGGTCTAGTGCAATTCTTAATGCTTGGCTACACCAGCACATAAACTTTGAAGCTACTGAGGGTTTTCCTAGAATTTTGCTTATTTTATATGCATGCACCATAAGAATTTTGGCTAACTCAGACCTCCACCTAATTCAAACAGGGTTATGCCCCATATCATCTAACTTAGTAAGTGATCTCTGTATTATGAAATCCCACTAGATTATGGAAGTTGTTTAATATTTTAAAACTGGATTTTCAATACTCAACTTTACATATATAACTATTGGGTTATGTGCATAAAACTTTAATAAGTAATCAATGAAACTTCAACACAAACCTGTTAATGTACATATGAATGGGTTTCTTGGTATTTTCTGACTGAAGAAATAGAAGCTGTGCAATTACCAAACTTGATATGTTATCATCTATCTGAAATAATAAATAAATAAATAAATTAATATAAAACCTAAATGCCCACACCCCCCCTGTTACCCCTCATCTTCCTGTTACCCCCACCTTCTCGTTACTTAACCTCCGTGCTGCGTGGCTTATATTGTGATATTTTGGGAGTGCACAGAAAATAAAGTGTCCCCCAAAATTTTTTTTGTAAATTGTTAAAATCCCTACCCTGAACATGTAAATGAAAACAAAACAAAAAACCAGCGTTGAATGTAATGAAACGCCATTTTCTGGGTGAGACCCAGAGGTTCCCCAGAGCTTATCCAGGCTGATGTGCTAATGTCAGACTTTGGCATCAGTCATGTGTATGGAGTTCTAAGAGCCTACCGGGGACCATGAAGCAGAACCAGGCCCCCTCAGAGAGACAAGGTGAGCAATGGCCTATAGAAACCCCCGTGTGGTTGGAAGCATTCTATGTCTGCCATCGACTGGGTCAGGCACCCAGAAAGGTAAAGAGTCCCCAAACAAAGCCCTATTCTGGTTAAAATTGCTACCAAAAGCCGAACTAGTGGATAGAACTCCCCAAACAAAAACGAGCAAACTAGTATGACGTCATCCGTCGTCGCGCCGCTGTCTGCACAGCCCCCCCCTTCCCGGGAAGGGGAAGGGGCAGTCCCAGACCTCTCACGCCAGCTATCCACCCATCAGTTCTGAGGCTGGCTGTCAAAACACGCGAAAAACTGCCGACCAGAGGTTTTTCCTGTGCGAGGTCACCCGGAAGTATTCTATGTCTGCCATCGACCGGGTCAAGCATCCAGAAAGGTAGGCATTCCAAAACAAACTCCTATTCTGGTTAAAATTGCTACCAAAAGCCAAACTAGTGGATAGAACTCCACAACAGAAAACAAGCAAACTAGTATGACATCACACGTCAAGTATGATGCCAAAGTCTGACATTAGCATATCAGCCTGGTAAAGCTCCGGGGAGCCGACGGGGCTCCCCCCAGAAAACCAGCGTTGAATGTAATGAAACGCCGTTTTCTGGGCAAGTCCCGGAGACTCCTCGGAGCTGAAATGTATGTATTAGACCATAACATCAGTCAATGCGGTTGGAGTTCTTGCCAACTGGGGGCCACGAGCCAGAACCTGGCCCACCCCCCCCTCACAGAGGCACAAGGAGCAATAGCCTATAGCAACCCCCCTTGGTCAGAATCATTTTATGTCTGCCATCGACTGGGTCAGGCACCCAGAAAGGTAGGCGCCCTAAAAGTAACCCTATCTGGTTAACACATTGCTATAGAAAGCTGAACTGTTGGACAGAACTCCAAACGAAAACGAGCAAACGAGCATGACATCACAACGTCACTGCGCCGCAGTCTGCACAGCTCCCCCTTCCCTGGGAGATGGAAGGGGGAGTCCCAGACCCCTGTGCTGGCTATCCACACCCCAGTTCTAAGGCTGGATGTCAAAACACAGGAAAACCGCCGACTAGAGGGAGGGTTTCTGGGGAGCCTCCAGGTCTCAGCCAGAAAATGGCGTTTCATTACATTCAACGCTGGTTTTCTGGGGGAAGCCCGTTCAGCTTCCCGGAACTACTTAACCAGAGATAAAACAAGAGGGAATTACCCTGGAGGCAGTTGCCACTCACTTTGTAATACAGTATGCATATTCTAGGGTAGTGTTGATGTCTTAAATTCTGGAAATATTTTGATTATTTTTGTGTTTACTCCTATAAGTAAACTGATTCTCTTGTGAACAGTTTTTTCAACTCATTTTCCCTTAGTAAGGCTTACATTTTTTAGTCATTAGGTTGAATATATATTTTGTTTAGGTAAATGAGCACCTTCTGTGAAGGTAGAATGAGCACCTTCTGTGGATGGTAGAATATTAGCGAGTTTATAACGAGCGAGATGAAGGCCAGGGCCGAGCCACCTGGTGATGGTAATCGGAACTAATGAGTTTTGGGCTGGTTTTATGGTTTCAAGGCTTTGTTTACTGTGAACCCACCAGTTGTCTGTAAAGCTTCAATGATTTGAGGCTTTTTCCAGTGGGGTGGGGTGTTGGATTGTCACTCACTCCCTGTGCCTCTGTGAAAGGGGCCAAGTACTAGTTCTGGTTCACAGTAGGCCAGACAGAACTTCCACAACTTATCTAACCTTTTAGTATGGAGAAATTTCAACAAGATAGCTTCAGGGAGGCATCCAGAAATGAGAATGTTGAAGTGTTCATAACCATTTGTGTATTCAGTGCTTTAAGGCATATTTAATACACCCTTTGCTTTGTTTCTATACTCTAGAACATTCATTGGCAAACATTTTAACACTTCATTAATAATTATAATCCCAAAAATAACTTGAAAATTTGAAAAGTGTGTAAGCATTTTAGGCATCCCTGAGCAGGTCCCTAAGAGGTCCTAAATATTTAAGATTGAGCGTGTAGCAAGTGGCCAAATTTTAAGTGTTAAAACAATACAAAACATTATCTTGGTCTTACTGGGCCCATGATGCAAATGATTCTCTCCTTCAAGAGACGAGAGAATATGTCATAGGCGCGTTCTCCTCTTCCTGTCTGTTCTATTACAATAGGGATCATGCCAAGCATCCTCTTTGTGACATGTGAAGTAACAGTTGGGTGGACAAGCCATTGAGCCTTTGGATGAATGACACAATTACTACCCTGAAATGAATGAAGTAGTAATTACTCTTCTGTTAATTCCTATGAATTCATTTACTATAAATATAAAGCCTCAGTCTACTACACTAAGTTGTTTTCTTTTACTTGATACTCAAAGAACTTTCCTTACACCTTAAGATTAAAAGATATCATGAATTTCACATAAAGGTAAATACTGTACAGTATTTACATAATAACTATACTGTATCACCAAATACTGTAGTGACGAGTTTCGAGATGATACTGTACCATTGTATGGGGAATTTTTTGTTTTGTTTTGGTTTGTTTTCCCACAGGATTAATAATTAGTTTGGCCCTGGGAAAAGATCCCAACTAATTAGTTGGAAAATGGAAAAAATTTGTTGGGAAAAAATTCACTGTACTTGTTCAAAATAATAATAATAATAATAATAATAATAATAATAATAATAATAATAATAATAATAATAATAATATTTGATTTATAAAAAATATTACGCATACAAAAAATTGTATGTCTGTTTATTTTATCAAACTTTGTTCTGATGCTCAGTGTGCTGCATAATTTGGATACAGTCCCAGTGGGTGCAGTGCTATTTCCAAAAGTTTAACCCTTAAACTGCACAAAATGTCATATGATGTGTGACACTGAAGGGGGTATAATTTAAAAAATATTTGAATTATGTCAAAACTACTTAAAAATGTTAAACAAATCTCCAACTTTCTGGCTTCAGCTTCATGAAACTTTCATCAAAATATTTTCAGAAATTGATTTTAGGCGAATATTTAAAAGAAAAGAACGTTTTGTTAATAAAGATAACAGCTCCTATTAACTGAAACTGATGGATAATGCAATAATAAAGAGATGCAAGCACCTGTCCGACACAAAGAAGAAGAATAGTAGTAAGAAGTGTCCACAAAGTGGATATACAGCTGGTTCCTTTATAGCATTGCTGAGTAATACATAATAACACAAATAATAATGAGTAATTATGTTATTATGGTCTATTTTGCTACATATCATATAAATACATTGCCCAATGTTATTATCAGTTACTTTCAACAATGTCCAAAAAATATTTTTTAGATTTTTTTTTTTTTTAGGATTTTAGTTTGTTTTCTTCCTTTGTTTATTATTTGAATTTGTTTTAACCTTTACATCCTGAAGAATGCATACTCATCCCTAACTATGTGAAGCCAGAATTAAATTGGTCAACAAATAAATTAGGTAGAACTCTCAGAACTTGGGACTTTGATTTTTTGGGGGCTGATTTGTTCACAGATTTCAAACTCTATTTTCCTTGTTTCTTTGGGTTGTTTTGATGATTAGGGACCAGATTAGGACTTTTTTACTTATATAAAGTATACCCTAAATATGTTCCCTAAATTATTATGATTATCCCTATACTGTATTTTGTTTTTTGGGGGGTTATTTTTTCTTGACTTTATTTCTACACACATTGACCTACAACTTTCACATACTTGAGTATGAATGCCAAACAATGTTTATTACAACATACAAGTGAATTCATGAATTAGAACTGCCTTATTCATTGTCGATAACTTCAACTTCAATTATATCTATAACTAGAATTTCAACTTACTTCAGTATCCAAAAATCTACTTTGGCCGATTCTCACCATTTTTTACATACAGTGTGCACAGCTGTCTCTTCTACAATCCCTATAGAATTGATTTTTCATAATCCCTAAACGTTTGGAGTTATAAATTTTTGTTGTCTAAATTTGTGCATATTTCAAATGCTATATTGACAATTTTTTTAACAGTAAACTATACTGAAAATCTATATTCTAAATATATGCAAATGAAGATCATAAGCTATTCTGAAAGCATAATAACACCCAATGAGTAGTTGGTGATATTTTTCTATTTTTGCAGCTGATTTCAAAATCTGGAGGTTTTCAATATTCAATTTTATAATTATTTCTTATTTTCTTGTTTTTCAAGTTACACTGGTATCATTTAGACAAAGTTGGAGCATTTGCCTAGTAGATTATGCACAAAACATTTGAAAGAGTTTCAGAAAATTTTAAAACCGAGTTCAATGTCACACATCATATGACATTTTGCGCAGCTTAAGGGTTAATGGATAATCATTGAAACTTAGCCTATTCAGTAATAAATAAATAAATAAATGAATGAATAAATAATAAAAATTAATGAATGAATACAAAAAATGGGATTTGCATTTAATTTTAAATAATCAAATTATTAAAACAGTGAAACAGTCAATCTCCTTTATCCACAAATTTAGAACAAACAAGAAAAGTGGCAGTACAGTACTGCAATTTAATGTCATGAAAAGCTATGAAGCTCAAAAGTCATGAGAACTAAACACACCTGTGGAGAATATAACTTTTCCCAGTTCAAAATCAAGGTTCCAGACAAAGTTAACAGTGAAAGCAGTACACAGAATTCTTAACACAGACTAAAGTGAAATCGATAAACTTGACAAAAATCAACTGACACTAACAGATTTTATTAGACCTCTGCCAGCCTGATAACCCATTAACTTCCTCAACTGAATGAATTCTTACATGTTAATATGTAATAATATGTCAATCATCTCAAGCATCATCTCAAGATAAGATGTATGATCACTAAACCCATCAGAATTACTCTAATGATTGGCTCAACCTTTGACCACATTTCAGCTAACATAATCTCTCCATTAACCATGGAAATAATCACTGATGGGAAAACAGACCATTACCCAACATTTCATCTAATACCTGATCAACCAGGCTGTGATTCATATGTTAAGCAGCAGACAGCCACATCCAACAGTCTGGTTAACCAGACCACCAGGCCTGGTGAAGACATTGATCCTCAGAATCATTGCAAGATAACTAAATCTTGGTAGGGAGGGTCCTGGTAGTACAGTTGGGTTCGCTCTCAGCGGACAATCAAGAATTCCGGGTTCGAATCCCAGGCGGGAGAAATGGTTAGGCACATTTCCTTTCACCTAATGCCTCTGTTCACCTAGCAGTGAGTAGGTAGTCAGGAGTTAGTCAGCTTGTTGTGGGGTTGCATCCTGGGCGGGGTAGGGGAGGGGGGTGACCTCGATATAAGCTTACCGTATATGAATACACTCTGGCTTCCTGTCCCCCAACACAATGAATTATTATTATATGGAGGGCCACTATCTCTAGTGGCCTCGATGACAGGAAGCCGGCAGCTTTGTTAGGCCTGTTGCTTAATCTACAGTTTTTAAATATCACTAACAAATTGTGTAATTTGCTAATTTATTTATTTATGCATATACAAGAATGTACATAAGGAATGTGAGGATACAAATATGGTAATTACAGTCTTGTAAAGCCACTAGCACGTGCAGCGTTTCGGGCAGGTCCTTAATCTAAAAAAATTTTAAGGAGGTAAATACTTGCAAAATTTATAGACAAAAAAATGATAACATGAAATGAAAAAAAAAAAAAAAAATTAATTAGTTTAACAATTCAGTTATGCCAATTTTTTTTGTTCAGCTGAAAGTTGTTATTCCATTAAAATTATGACTAAATTACTTATCTGAATTTACCTGAGGGCCACTATCATTCTAATGGCCTCGACGAGGACAGAAAGCCGGCGGCTTGTCAAAGATCCACCCCCCCCCCCCATTTGCTCAGAGGTAGGAACAAGATGCAGCAAAAGCTCATTTCGCTGAGTAATATCTTAAACGAAATTTCAGCGTAAAATATTAAAGTAATGTTTGACCTATAAGTAGAGATCAAGTTATTTGGTACATTGTAATTTAGCGTCAACTGACCGCCACCAGGCGCTGGACGGACCGTAACATGGCCATCCCTCTCCTTGCCTCCACACTACGGTTCAACCTCTTCCGACGCTCCAGATAAATAACATCACATTTTGAAGAGTAAGTTCTACAAAATTACACAATTCTCTGAAACATTAAAAATGTTTTTTATAAATATAAGCATTGAAATATTAGCATTTAAATAATAATTTAGATTTAGTACTCCTACTGCAGATAAGGAATGGTAAGTCAGAGCCAAGTTGAACACCCGGACACTACCTACAACAGATGTAAACACTGCAGCCTCACATTGTACCGCGTTTCATTTTTTTAATTTTACCTGAATTTATCTGAGGGCCACTAACATTAGTGGTCTTGAAGACAGGAAACCGGCGGTTTGTCAAAGCACCCCACTAACCTCAATTGTTCTAATGATTTTTCAAGCTATATTTTAAAGTAAGAACATACAGTATATTTGACATTTACGGTTTCGGCGGGTAGGCTGTTCCATGCGTTAACCCTGTGGGTGAAAAGGCACTTTCTGTTCTCAGTCCTACATTGTGGCTTGTTGAGTTTAAACACTTGTAATTGTTGCTCCTTGTTCGTATTACATCTGACTTTTTGAAGAAATTGTCCATCAACATCCTCCAACTTGTTCAGTATTTTAAAAGTTTCAATGAGATCTGCCCTGTCATGCTTAGTTTGCAGTGTTGTTAGCCCTCAACCGTTTCTGAGGTTGAGGGCTAACCGTTTCTAATTTTCTGTGGTTCAGGCCCTTAAAAACCCAATATGCAAAATAGATACTAAGAATGTTGTAACATCCATTATAAACAACATTATTAATGGACAGAGCAAGAGTTTCAGTCTCAGTTGTATGGATACCATCTCACATAGGTGTTGTCCAGCATGATGACACAGACAAGGCAGCTAAAACTGCATGTGATAAGCCTGAAATTGAGTGAGATATGGGCATTCCAATCTCTGCTGTAAAAGCTGCAATATTTCAGGAAATTGGGGAAGACAGATGAGCAGTTACTGACACACAAAGGCCAAAAAGCACAAGTATAAAGAGCTATGACATGTTTAGAACCAAGAATTGTATGTACAGGCAGCATAAAACAGCCACTAGTTAGTGTGACATTGTAATTGCCAGAATTAAGCTAGGATATTGATATCTACGGCAGGTGGCTGTAGGTAATGAATCTCCCAGTGGTCAACATTCTAAGTGTAAACTATGTAAACAAGAGCTAGGACATACTCTTCAACACTATATCTGTGATTTCCCTGTTATTAGTGATTTCATACCAAATGGTATGAGGTACTTTGAGCTCCATAATTACTTCCTACACTGACGATTATTGGAAGATATTCATGTGCTGTACCCAGATTTTGCTAGTGCAGGATAAGATCAGCCTTGCAATTCATGTTCTATCCTAATTCCATGTATGACTAACCATCCTGTGAGATGGGGATATTAGATGAACTTATAGCTAGTTTTTTTATCTACACTGTAATCTTTCATATAGAATAGGGTAGCAGCACATTGCTGTGTATACCTGAGCTTGTTAATAAAAAAACAATATTTTATATTTTTGCCCGAAACACTTTGTGTAATATTGGCTTCATAGATTGTTTAACTCCTGTCTCTACAATTTGTACATTACTCCTATGTTCTTTGTGCACAGATTATTTTGAATAAACATTGTATTGTATAAGAGTATCTTAAGACAGCCTTTTGCTCCCCTGAAAGGATGATGGCAGTAATTTTCTTGTTTCAAATCCATCCACCTTTCCCTCTTTTCTCATAAATTTTCCCTCTTTTTCTTGAGTCTTGCTTTCTCCCTTCAGTCTCTCCCCACCTCATCCCATTTTCTATCTCTTTCTACACCTCTACCTCATCCTATCTTCTATCACCTCTCCACAGTTCTCCCAACCTCCCTCATCCCTTCCACTCCCCCCATACTATCCCTTCTTATGGTTCCATATGTGTTACAACATAATTGATGAAGAAATTATAGACTTGGTTACAGAAAAAAAAGACAACAGGTTACTCATTCAGTCTCAGTCCCCAACCACTTCGGCTAGACAGTAGAGTGACGGCCTCGCTTCATGCAGGTTGGCATTAGATTCCCGACCGTCCAAGTAGTTGAGCACCATTCCTTTCCCCCCGTCCCATCCCAAATCCTTATCCTGATCCCTTCCAAGTGCTATGTAGTCATAAATGGCTTAACACTTTCTCCTGATAATTCCCTTCAATCTTGGTTCCAAGGTGTCCAGATGGCACGTGACACTGAATAATACACCATTATTCATTATTCTTTGGAAATTTCACAAATTTCTTGCTATTCATAATTTGCCCGTTGCCACATAAAACAGACAACCATTCCACAGCTTTAAAGGCTTCTCAACACATACACCGTTCTCAGAATAAATAGGGAAACTATTATTTTTTAGTATTTCACATTGTTAAGCTCCTTTCACTGGTGACTATCCACAGACCAATGGTAGGCAATTAAATTTTTTTTTTTAAGAGAGACAGTAGTAGATAGATAGACTGATGGATAGACAGATGCATGGAGGAATACATAGATGGACAGATAGATGGATGGATAATTGGATAGACTGATAGATAGATGGATAATTGAATAGATAGACAGATGGATGGATGGACAGATGAATAAATTATTGGATGGACAGACAGATAGATATATGGATGAATAGGTGAGTAGATAGATGGATAGGTGGGTAGATAGGTGGATAAATGATATAGATGGATATATAATGGAAAAATGGATAGATAAATGGACAGATGGGAGACAGACCCAGGCAATGCTGGGTATATACCTATAAGAGAGAATGTCTCTCTCTGTCCAGAGTTTGAGGCCAGATGTTTTGGACTAGCCTCATGCAAATTTGCAGGGGAAAGGGACTCTGGTATGGGACAGACATAGAATGGTCAGGGTAGGCTTAAGTTAAATGATTTACAAAATATTACCAATTATCCACAACCCTGGGTCATTTTCATGTGGGATATTACTGAAAAGAAACAAGAATGGATACAGGAAGAGAGAAGAAAGGAATAGCAAAGCATCCAAGACTCGTACATTTCTTTCAATGCTTCTTGAAGGAGGAGAGGATGAAGAGATAGGTAGGGGTAGAGATAGGTATAGGTAGGTAGAAATAATGGGGAGATAGACAGACAGACCTGGGCAATGCCAGGAACCCTTCCTAGTACATATAGTACAGTATATACATGTACTTAAATATCCACATAGGAGAGAAAAACAAAATCTGAATGCTTTTGTTTTAATAAATTTTCAAAGAATACAGTATAGACATATAATACAAAGGATGTAGGAATATATAGACAGCACATGAGTTGATTAAGAAATAATAACATCAGTGTTCACCATCCTCCATGTGGTGTCCTATCTAGTAAAATAATCTTAACATCTGCATCATGGTTAAAACTTTTTAACTACTAGTAATCAACCTTAAACAAATTATTATTGGCAATGTCAGAAGGAATTTGCAAATAGACGATCATTCTTCAGTAGTATTGAAAAAACAAATTTACAAAGTCAAAATTACAAAACTGTTACTTCTGGTGTAAGGAATTTGACAAATACTATATCAGTCAAATGAAATTTGTTATATCTATGGTTTGTTACAACTAAAACTGGTTTTAATTATATATGACAATACTAATCCACACTCTAGCATATTCAAAGAGCTGCCATCAGTGACCACTATATTGTCATCAAACTCCTATTATACATAACTATTTTTAGCTACCTATTTAGTACCACACGTGCATATCCACATTGGCAAAATATTATATTTAGGAGAGCAGTTAAAAACCTGAGAACCTGGGTAATACAGGTAATTTAAAAATTTCTCTCTCTCACTTGGGCTGTAATAAGAATCCAGATCAATGAATGGGTAACACAGTCTGGGGACTTAGTCCAAAACAAATAAAACTGATGTACAAGTCACAGCCTGGTTGATCAGGTATCCTTTGAAGGTGCTTATAGAGTTCTCTTTTGAACACTGCGCGAGATCAGCCAGTTATGCCCTGTATGTGTAGGGGAAGTGTGTTGAAAAGTCTTAGGCCTTTGATGTTGATCAAGTTCTCTCTCAACATGCCTTTTACGCCTTTGCTTTTCAGTGGGGTTATTTTACACATTCTGCCATGCCTTCTGGTCTCATGTGATGTTTTTTCTGTGTGCAGGTTTGGGACCAGTCCTAATATTTTTTTTGTGTAAATTATTATGTATCTATCTCGCCTGCACTCTAGGGAATACAAATTTAAAATTATTAGGCAGTCTCAATAATTTAGACGTTTTATTGAGTGGATTCTAGTGGATTCTAGATCTTTGCACGCTTTCCAGGTCAGCAATTCTCCAGCTTTGAATGGGGCTGTTAGCGAAATAGAAGAACCCAATACTGTAATGGTAAGCCTGACACCCCACACCAAAATTCAGCCAGTCCTTAAACTGGAGATGAATGGATACATGACCTGCCCGAAACGTTGCGCATACTAGTGGCTTTACAAGAATGTAAATACCATGCTATGTATCCCTCACAAACCCAATGTACTTTCTTGTATATATATAAATAAATAAATGACAATAGGTGTCCCATAGATCCTGGGACACCATCCAGGAATCTGCCTGCCACATCAGGCAGACCTGAGCTAAGGTAGTCATGTGGAAAGTTGGACAGGAAATGATGTGATTCAATATAAAATATATTGGGAATATACTGCAGGTCCTGCAAGTCCCACTTGAGGACTGAGAACAAGTGGGACACCCACCACAGAGCAGGGGTTAACTTGACCACGCCATCATCCAACCTCTCTGCTATGACCAATAGAGGCTGCAGAGAGACTGGTGGTCTTGGATCCTCAACATCAAAGAAGGGATTAAGGACCACTTCCACTGCAAGCCCCAGAAGGCTCATGCATTGTGAGACCATGAGAGCTAAACAAATCAGGCATCTCCCCCACAGCGCCGTCAAAAGGGAAACCCACAAAACAGCTAGTGTGAAGAACCCCAGACAAAGAAGATTACAACGGCCCCTCAACCTTGAGCCTCGCAGAGGATTCACATATCTGTGTACAACCCAGTGGAAGGCACCCTCCACAGGAGGCTGGCACTCCTCAAGGACAGACACCCAAACCCATCAGGGTAGGCAACCTAGACAAGGAAGAGGCAACACCAGCGAGTGCCTAAAGAAGGCAACCTTGAACCCATGCACTTCGAGGAGAACAGTTTCTCAAAGTCTACACAACAAGCGATGGACGGCAAATACTTGCACCTAAAACATATATAAAAGCTGAAACAAACACAACCAAATGGCCTCCACAGGATAAGGTCCAAAGGATAGCCAACACTTAACTGGAAAACTGGGACCCAAAGGGCTAATGTGACATGGGGTGCACTAGTGAATGTTGCTATACCAGGCCAATGACTGAGGGTCTCCACCAGCCAGTCCAAGAGCTCCCAGTCCTACCACCTGGTGCTACTAATGGGTGAATGACCAATCTACTGGGTATCTAGTTTTCAGAGTTGTTTCGATTTGCCTTGTAGTGTTTCACTATTTTTCTGGTGGCATATTTCTCAGGATGAGCTTGAATCCTCTGCTCTTTGCACCTTGGGTCCCAGGTATTCTTTTAATGACTTGTAGGGTTGGTGTGACTTATAATATGTGAAGCTAACTAGGTTGCAAGCAACAGGGAGCCACTGTGAAGCCTTACCAAAAACTAACATTATTTTTGCATTGTTTACAAATAAAAGACTTTTATAACCAGGTACTACAGAAATAAATGATACGATATACACCAATGACAGAAATCCTCTGCTAATTTAGTTAAATAATCATGACTGAATTAAACAGAACAACCAAAATCAGAGCAACCAAACAAAAAAAAGTTAAACCAAGTGTCATGAATATCAGGTATATTTTATACAGTTTACTCTATGCAAATTGACAATTAGCTATAACTTCATAGGCTATGACTAAGTTAAGATGAAAAGACTATGGACAGATCTCAAGTACAAAGTACTGTACTGTGAAATTCAGTATTCATTATCTTTTACACCTCCACATCCCATACTATATCATCTCTTCCCAGTAACACATGTTGCTTCATAATATTACGCAAGTTTCTTGAGGCCTGTTGCTCAAACTCAAAGGCTTTCTTCAGAGATTGGTAATCACGCAGGAGTGTGGCAACTTGGTCCTTCAGGGCATAGACTGTGTCCACGAGGCTTCTATAACAATAAAGATAACATAAAAATACTGTACATCTAATAAGCATAAATAGCTAAATTATTTATTATTTATACAAGACTACAAAACAGTGCAAAGAGTTGCCCAACTCATTTTTAATTGAAAGAATACTATAATGCATTTAATATCCATATTTTATTTAATTTTAAGGTGAATATTTGTTATCTAATGTTTGAGGGAAGTAAGAAAATGACAGCATGGATAGAAGTTTTCATAGTTGAGTTGTATACATGAAGCAATAGGTTTAAGAGACACTTCAACAGTGTACCCAACATGCCCAGGGTTCGATTTCACTCATGTGCAGTACTGTACTTTTATATCATAAACTTATTATACTTTTCAACTAAAACAAAACAAATTAGAGAATATACAGTATACTAAAATCATCAGTGACCTATACTATATTTGCTCTTTAATTAATTTAATTATTAACAAATCATTGGAGTATTAGTGGATCACCCTGTAGTACAAGATGCATTAGAAAATACAAAACAATAGAAAGCTAGAGGCTGAACAGTATGTTTGAATATGGCCATTAAAGAGAGGCATTCCAATTCTGTACTGGCAAATTTGCAGATAAGAAAAAATGTAATCAGTATAATAGGTCCAATAATTAGAGGGGTGCTGTAAAGTTTACTGGGGGCTATAAACATTACAGGGTGCTATAAACATTACAGAGCGCTGTAAACATTACAGGGTGCTGTAAACATTACAGAGCGCTGTAAACATTACAGGACGCTGTAAACATTACAGGGTGCTGTAAAGTTCAGTAGATGCTATAAACATTACAGGGTGCTGTAAACAATACAGGGTGCTGTAAACATTACAGGGTGCTGTAAACATTACAGGGTGCTGTAAACATTACAGGGGGGTGCTGTAAACATTACAAGATTGCTGTAAACATTACAGAGTGCTATAAACATTGCAGGGTGCTGTAAACATGTAAACATTACAGGATGCTGTAAACATTACAGGGTGCTGTAAACATTACAGGGTGCTGTAAACATTACAGGGGGCTGTAAACATTACAGGGTGCTGTAAACATTACAGGGTGCTGTAAACATTACAGGGGGCTGTAAACATTACAGGGGGCTGTAAACATTACAGGGGGCTGTAAACAGGCTGTTTGATGTGGCTGCATGTACAAGTCACAGCCTGGTTGATCAGATATCTTATGAAGGTGCTTGTCGAGTTCTCTAAATAGTTTTTTTTTATTTTTTCTAGTACTGTACAGTATTAATAAGATTTATTATAAATGTCTCATATTATATGAGAAATTGTTATTTTAATTATTACAATATATTGAAAATTAAGGTATAATTATTATATACAATTTATCTTTTTACTATACAGTATATGCAATACACATGGTTACAATTTATAAATTATTCTCATATATATAGATAATTATATAAGAATTACAATAAAGAGTATTTTGCCTGCTGGAATCAATCCGGAAATCACCTCAATCAGTATGAGACATCTCTCAGTAATCTCATCGAGGGACAGTTTCCAAAACACCCCCTTATGTTGGTGGGTGGCAAAGTGTTGGTTGGTGGGTGAGTGGGTGGCAGTGTAATTACCTAAGTGTAGTTACAGGATGGAGCAATGCTTGTGGTGTCCCACCTTCCCAGAACTCTTTGTTGTATAATGCTTTGAAACTACTGACGATTTTGGCCTCCACCACCTTCTCACTTAGCTTGTTCCAACTGTCTACCATTCTGTTTGCAAAAGAAAACTTTCTAATATTTTTTCAGCACCTTTGTTTCCTTGCTTGAATCTGTGTCCTCTTGTTTATGAAGTTGCTGGTGTCAGGCATACATCAAGCATTTAGCAAAATTTAGCATACATCTCTTTGTCAATTTGGTAGATTCTTGTTAGTATTTTGTAAGTGGTGATCATATCACCTCTTTTTCTTCTATCTTCTAGTTTTGACATGTTTAATGCCTCTTGTCTCTCCTCGTAACTCTTGTTTTTCAGTTCCGGAAGTCATTTTGTAGCATGCCGTTGCACCTTTTCCAGTTTACTTGTGGGCTTATTGAGATTTGGGCACCATACAACGTGAAACTCCATCAGGTCCAACTGCTTTATTTCTTCCTAGCCCCTTGAGTAATTTTTCCACTTCATCTTGAGATACCTCTATGGCATGCTCTAGAATTGGTATTGGGTCCAATTCTATGAAATCCTCATTTTGTACAAACACACTTTGGAACTGTTCATTTAACATTTCACACATTTCTTTTTCATTCTCAGTAGTCCTGTTCCCGTTCTTAATCTCTGGACTTTATCCTTTACATGCAGCTTGCTTTTAATGAATTTAAAGAAAAGGACTAGGTCTGTTTTACATTTATCTGCTATACCTTTCTTAAAGTTCCTTTCTGCCTCTCTCCTCGCTACTGAGTAATTGTTTCTTGCTTGTTTGTAGTGCTGGTATGTATGTGGGTTAGGACCCTTCCTATATTGAAACCATTTTCTTGTCTTTTCCTCTCTGCCCCTTTCACAAATTCTGTTGAACCAATCCTATTTTATGGTCGTGCATCTCTCTTTTGGTGTGAATGTTTGTGTGCCTTCATATATTTTGCAAAATTTAGCATACATCTCATTTATGTACTTCTTTGCCTAGCAACAAGTCTGTCCAATTAAACTCATTAAAGAATTTTCGAAGTTCCCCATAGTGTCCTCTCTTGAAATCGAGTTACATCAACCGTTTCAATGTCCCCATTCTCTTCTAGATTGTATTGCAAAGCATATTTAATTTCCAACAGGACATAATCACTATTTCCCAAGGGAGGAAGTTACTGGATGTCAAATATCTCTTCTTCTATGAAGAATATGGCAGTGTATTGGTTAGTGGGGGAGGGGGGGGGGTAGTGTGTTTGATGGTGGGTGGGTGGTAGTGTATTTGATGATGGGTGGGTGGAAGTGTGTTTGATGGTGGGAGGGTGGGTGGTAGTGTGTTTGATGGTGGGTGGGTGAGTGGTAGTGTGTTTGATGGTGGGTGGGTGAGTGGTAGTGTGTTTGATGGTGGGAGGGTGAGTGGTAGTGTGTTTGATGGTGGGTGGGTGGGTGGGAGGGTGGTAGTGTATTTGATGGTGTGTGGGTGGGTGGGAGAGTGGTAGTGTATTTGATGGTGTGTGGGTAGGTGGTAGTGTGTTTGATGGTGGGTGCGTGGTAGTGTATTTGATGGTGGGTGCGTGGTAGTTTATTTAAGGGGGGGAGGGGGTAGTGTATTTGATGGTGGGGGGGGTTAGTGTATTTGATGGTTGGGGGGGGGTAGTGTGTTTGATGGTGGGTGGGTGGGTGGTAGTGTTTGATGGTGGGTGGGTGGTAGTGTATTGTTGGGTGGGTTGTAATGGGTGAGAGGTCATAGGTGGGTGGTAATGGAAGCATCATAGTGGAAAGCGGAAAGGTGGCAATTGGTGAGTGGGTAATGAATTTGGTATTAGATGGGTTGGTGTATGGCAGAGAGAATGTGTGTGCGAGGATGATAGTGACCGGAGTACAGATGTGGCCAACTCATAGTGACTCACTATGGTCCCTCGCAAGTCTCACTGCCTATTTTCTTCTCTGGATGAGGCTATGAAAGGGGTGAGATGACAGTGATAAATGATGTTTAGGTAAGGATACAGTACTGTAATATTCACTAATATGGACCACCACAAACATTTTTAAAGTATTTACACAGGAAATACACATGGTTTTGTAAACATTTTAGCAGGTGAAGGATTGGGCGGATATGTATGGGAAGAAATCCACAAGGGCTGTGATGAGGGTTCGAACCTACGTCTGAGAGGATCCCAGACATTTTTACGCTCAGACACTCAGCCTTAATCGACTGAGCTACGACATGGTTAAAATAATTGCATCCGGGAGTTCAACTTTACCTACCACGGATCCTGCAGTCTCTGAGACACAAACCAGGTTTTTACACAATTCCCTCACGCACCCGAACTCTGCCAATAAGCTGTTCTACCTCTTTGCCCTTACTTCATTACACACAGAAATCACAACTGCGTGATGCATGACCCGTGGTAGGTCAAGTTGAACTCCCGGTTACAATTCTTTTAACTATGTCGTAGCTCAATCGATTAAGGTGCCTCTGGGATCCTCTCGGACATAGGTTCAAATCCTCATCACAGCCCTTTTGGATTTGTTCATTTGATGCATCAGGCTATTGTGATTTCTGTGTGTAATGAAGTAGGGGGCGAACAGGTAGAGTAGCTTATTGGCAGAACTCGGGTGCATGGGGGAATTGTGTAAAAACCTGGTATGTGTCTCGGAGTGACTGCAGGACCCATGGTAGGTCAAGATGAACTACCGGCTGCAATTTTTTTAACCATGTCGTAGCTCAGTCAATTAAGGCGCGTCTGGGATCCTCTTGGATGCAGGTTCAAACCCTCATCACGGCCCTTGTGGATTTATTCATTTGATGCATCACACTATTGTGATTTCTGTGTGTAATGTGAGGAAAGTGAGAGTGGGGAGGAGTAAGAGTGGGAGAATGTGAGAGTGAGTAGGTGTGAGTGGTTGTGAGAGTTAGTGGGTGTGAGGAGGGAGTCAAATCATGGTTGTCTTTGCTTGAGTGGACAGGCATGTTTAACATGATCGTGTGTTATATTATATAATAATAATGAAGGAAATTTTAATTATTGATCAATAAATAAAAATCACATTATGGCAAAAATACAATTCTAAACATCCATTATAAGAAGGTCACCTGTATAAGGGAAAAACAAAAACTTTACAAATGTTGGATTTCACATTCAAATCCTTAAAAGAAAAGAACTTACTTTTCTTCCATTACAATTTGGTTGCCATGAGTTTCTTCAACAATGATTTTCTCTTCCTCTGCAATCAGCACTTGAGGACTATCCAGTAAAGCTGAAAAAATATTAATAAGGGTGTATTCAAACTTTAGCAAATAATGATGTAACAAAAACCAGCACTGAATATAATCAATTTTTTTTTCTGGTTTGTTCTAGGTGGCTCCTTGTTGCTAATTACTGTACCTAGAAAGCCCCACTCAATAAATGTCAGGCCCTTGCGAGTCATAAGCTTACCAGGGACTGGAGGCCAAAACCTGGCTCCCTCTATAGAAGCGCAGGAAGCTGACAAGTCTAGATGGCTCAAACTGTTGGAAATTATCCAACACTTCATACATCCATGCATCATTTTTGTACTATAATACATCATCATCATTGTATTAACTATAGTAATTATTAATCTTACTAATTTGTAGAATTAATCCAATTAATGTTTCTATTGCGACACAGTATTCTACCAAATCCTTCCTAGTCTGAATGATGCCGGGAGATAACGTCAAGTTGAAACATGAAATATCTCCACATTTAGTTGAATCTAAACAGAGTCCAGTTAATTATTTTCCTTTACTAAGGATAATAATTTATTTAGTTACTTTATTTATATAACATATTACTGCTTACTGAACTCGCTTATTTAGGTGAATTAACAACTACAGTGGAAAATATTGCAAAGTAAAATAAAGCATGGTATACGCATGCGTATACCAGCGTGGAAGACGGAGACGACGACGCCATATTAGCAGCGTGTTAGCGGCGTGACTAGAGACGTCACTCGTACTAGAGGCGCCATTGCAAGGATCTTGCTTAGTGTCATTTTATTCGCTCCCTCAACCTCGAGAGCAGTGCCACATTATTTCGGCACATAACGGCAGGTTATGATGATGAGTTCATGATGGTGATTATGATGGTACTGAGTTTCAGGCAGTATCCTGGAACTAATTATTCTCCAGCCCGTAGTCGATGTCTTAGCAACAGCAGTTCAGGACGGAGGATTAGAGTCGTTCCCTCGAACAACAGACACTTGGCCTGGCAACTATTAATTCTCTATTTGTTTCCTAGTGATCATTATTAACATTTAGGCTAGTTGTCGTTAGACCATTTATATACAATAAAAATCCAGTACGTTTACTCTCTAGCCATATTCCGTAATTTACATAGGAATTTATAGGCATTCATGTCTGTAGAAGAATTCTACAGTGTCAGATATATCATTCAAATTATATGAGGAAGAATTCCGTATTGTTAGATATATTTATTAGTTTTTACGTAGAAGATTTCTACATTGTAATTGCTTTTCAGCTCCCGCGTCCATGTCAAGTGAGGAGTTAGGCTACCCCACCTTCATGTGCAACAATTTCCCCGACGCAACACGTCGTCAGTGGTGTGTGGCCACCAATTTCACATCTCTTATTTTTACACCTAAGCTGTTAACAGTTGTTTGTAGATATTAACAACCTAGTTGTAGTAATAATCTTTTATTAAGATCAATTCAACTAATCCTTTATTTTTGCTATAATTTATTTCACATTCCTATAGCATATTGAGGTACATTTATCTCTAATTATTATTATATAACCAATTTAATGTACATTCATATTACAGTATTATTACTACTCTGGCGAAGAACCAGCGCCAGAATAATGCTAGGGATATATTAAATATTAATCTTTTAGCATGTAACCCCCCATTTTGGGTGAGTGAATTTGACTCATAATTTACAGTACCTTTAATATTCAATGCATTATTAATTAAAAACATCCATAGGACACTAGTTCATGGAATATATAACAAAACCACTTGCTCTACCTAGTTTTTCACTTTTTCACAAAAAGTGGCGGTCCTTCGTAGCTATCGAAAATAGAAAAAACTCCAGAAAGGTAGAGTGAAACAATATAGACAACGGAAAAGTAAAAACAGAAAATGAGACCCCAAAATGATCCACATGGTATTTAGGCAGGTCACTCACTAATAGCAGATGTTAATCACCAGGTGGTAGCAGCCTCAGCTACTGGATCCATCTAGCCAACTCATCAGTCATTGAGTCAGGAAAGAACGAAACCGATGCCCTTAGAAAGAAAATGGAGGGTTCAGGGAGCTCCCAAGGACTCACCAGAAAGAAGCATTTCATTACACTTAATGCTGGTTTTCTGAGAGGGCTCCTTTGGTGGTTCCCTGTTGCTATCTTACCATAGAGAACAAAATACAAAAGGGAACCATATAATGAGTGATAACACTGTTGGACTGCCAAGAACACAGCAGACAAAACTTAGAGAAGCACCTAGAGAAGGCAACTCTAGATGCGTACAGCTCAAGGTGAACAGTTAATCTTAGTCCATATAAAAGAAGGAAAACATAGAAATACATGCACATGTTTTGGAGTGCTGGCGCAAGGGGCGCTAGTGGCTGAGTGGATAGCATGCTAGATACGTAATCCTGTGGGCCGGTGTTCGATTCCCGGCGCTGGTAGAAACAGATGGGCAGTTTCTTTCACCCTGACGCCCCTGTTATGAAGCAGTAAACAGGTACCTGGGAGTTAGACAGCTGTTTTGGGCTGCTTCCTGGGGGTTTTGGGTGTGTAAAACAAAAAATAATTAGTAGTCGAGGTCGAGGCCTGGTCGAGGACCGGGCCGCGGGGACACTAAAGCCCCGAAATCATCTCAAGATAACCTCAAGATAGTAACAGTTGATTGATTGACAGTCGAGAGGTGGGCCAAAAGAACAGAGCTCAACCCCAGCAAGCACAACTAGGTGAATACATGAAGCAAAAACTAAAATAAAGAACAAGTATGCAAGGAAATGTCCCCCTGCAGGGCAGAGTCCAAAGGATGACTGTCACTTATTTGAAAAACTGGGACCCCAAGAGTGCTAGTGGATACAAAAAATGGGAGTGATTTTGTCATGTTAGACCAGGCATAATGACTGGGTGGATCCAGTAGCTGGAAGTGCTGCCATCTGGTAGTGGCAGCTGCTAGCAGTGGGTGAACCACTAACTACTAGGTGGATCATTTTGGGATATTGTTTTTTTGTTACAAACATAAAACAGATAATCTTACTCTTATACGTTTTGTATTTGCTCTACCTTTTTGCTGACTTTTTCTTGGGGTGAGAGACCTAGAATCCTCAGCTCCCTATGCACTTATAGAGGGAACCAGGTTTTGGCCTATAGTCCCTGGTAGGCCTACAGTGACTCCCAGGGGTTTGGTATGATTCAAATTAGGTGGAGGTATCCTGGTCGCTAGCAACAGGGAGCCACCATAGGAGCCCCTCCCAGAAAATACAAATTCCACTGACTGTACTTTTCTACTACAGAACGTGACAATAACAAAGCAGGAAATTAAAATACAGGTATTCACTAAAATTAAAGCATTACTAATGTCCTTGTCATAAGAAAACAGTCAGAAAAAAAATAATGAAGTTGACAAAACGTCTGTACAAAATACTCATAGTTTTTAAAGTCAATAAACAATGTTACATTTATAAACTTTCAAAATAGATCCCAAGAAATAACAATATATTTAGGAGTGACAAAAGAACTGTCAATACACATGCACAAAATAATCTTAAAACCATTTAACTGAAGCTCTGTAATAACTGCTCCAGTAAAAATCACATGAATCCCGCAATATTTGGGATCTGAGAAACACAACAACAGCCAAAGCTTTTAAATTAAGAAACATGCAACAATATATGAACACAAAAAATCCAGAATGGCATAGCCAGTAGTCTACAGAGATAGTAAAGAAAAATGTAATTAATTCATAAATAATGCCCCTATAACATTATCATCCACTTGCATCCATTAGTAATGGCAGGAAACTATGAAACTAATTATTTTGATATATTCACATACAGTGCTATTTTTATCTTCAGTAACTAAAATATATAATGGGAAAAATCTGCATAGAGTCCTTTTTGTCATTCTTCTGTACTAAAGAGCAATATTGTACTTTGTACACACACACAAAGATCTGTACATAATTCTGTACTATAACTTATTTTCTGTTTACTGCTGTCATAATACCCAGAGTGGGACAGCTTGCTCTCATCCTACAAATCCAAATCTTTATTCTAATTTTTCTATTAAAACTTTGCTCAAAGAGAGCCAGGTTTCATCAAGCATTAAAATGTGCATTTACAAAACTTATTCATCTTTCATCGGTCATGGCAGTCTGTATTTATTTAGTTTATTTAGTCTGTATTTATTAAACAGTTTATGAACTTTGAAAGTTTGCAGCCCAAGGTTATTATTGTTATGGATAACACTGTAGTGCTTTGGAGGTCATAGATTGTTTAATAAATACAAACTAACCTACTATTATTGAGCAAAGATGTACAGATTCCATAAGTGAACACTTAAATGTTTAATGAATCCTGGCCTTGACTCTTTAGGTACTACATCCAAAATCTCACTCTTAATTTTAAAGTCAGCAAATTATATCATTAATACAAGCCAGATTCTTTGCATACTGACAAGTATGTATTTTTTTTAAAGCTTTACCAATGAATTTAAACATTTGCAATTCTCAGCAAGCACTGATATCAACAGAACACTGTAAATACCTCTAGCATTTGCATTTGCCACACAGCATTCCATGATTATTCTACATTTGTGCTGGTGTACAAGTTCATGTGAGTCATGTAAAGTAATTATCAAGAGAAATGCATCTGAATAAGATTTGATGTAGTATATAACAACAAATCTGTCTTTTTGCTCTACCAAGCACTCAATACTTTTATTACTGTACAGTATTTGTAAACTTCCTCCTCATAACACTATTCTCCCCATCAAGGATGACAATTGTGAAGCCAACACACTTTTCACATTTAATAATATCATAAATAACTTCCAACTTGGTCATAAAATTGGCTTGATTCTCAGTGGGTAGTGTGTTGCTCAGTTACCCTGGCTCTAACACCATTTCACCTCTTACGTGGGCTAATATTACATTATGCTTTAATGTTGGAAGTATCAATAGTAGCAAGGATCAGGTAAATATTCCTACTTTTCAGTTAAAGTTCCATGCAGGTTTTCAATACGGCAAAGTGCTATTTCCAAAC